ATTTCAACACCACCCAGCGTAAGTATCGGCTTGCGGTAAAATGCGAACCAAAAAAGTCACATGACCGACCGTTTTCGCGCCCTTCTCGCATTTTCCCGTCTCGCCATTTCGCTTTTCGCGTCTCGCAATTTCCCCACACCCTAATAATTCATGTAGAGATGTTTTCAAAATTACTTTTTTTTTGTCTTTTGTAAAAAAAAATGACTTGCTGTGTAGCTTTTTTAATTCTCAAGCCGACGTCTCATTTAGTACACGTTTCATCTTTATGAAGTTTTCTTATAGCTTCAATGGTCATCACCCCCACCCCCTCCCTACCCCCACCACTCACCGCTTCCATATTTACCGTCAATGGTTTATGGTTTCCGAAGAGCCACCACCCCCGGGAACACGCGAACCTCCGAGGGAGCGCCTCACGATAAGCTGGACGGGAGTCTTTTCGCACCGTTCGGGAGAATTATCTTCACGGCGGATCCCCAGCCGAGTCAGACACAGGCTTGGCCCCGCCCTGCTGTTGACAGACCCCCGGGGGACTCCCGCGTTTTACGAGGCATAACCCTAACCCTCACCGGCATACTCAGCTTCGGCTATAGCCGAGTTTTTATTATAATTTTTTATTTATTTTCTCAATACAGAAATGGGAATTTCCCGGTTTAAAAAAAAAAAAAAAAGAAAGGTAAATCATCAAAGTGATTAAGTCCCTTTAGTGAAAGTTTGTCGAGAAGTTCGGCGTATGCTTCGTATCTAATATTAACATGTTATGATAAGCCAGAAGCGGTTTAGTTTTGGCTATTTAGCCGGTTAACTTTGGCCGGTTAGCCTGTGATCGAGTCCAAATATTCACGCCGAAGTCAGTCTACCGTCAATCCACACCGTCTCATTAAAAATATCCTATCGTCGTGTTAAAATCAAGATCTGTTGAAAAAATTAAATATTGGCCGCCTATAAAGAATTTACTGCATTGCCGCTAAACCATCCTTTGAAATCTAGCGAAAAACTAGATCAAATATGTACACAAAAATAGAATCGTGTCCAGATAATCCCTGGCAAATGCAAAAAGTGCAAGGTCGAAAAGTTAATCCTCGCCTTTTGTGACCTATTCCTGTTGTCCAGACATTTGAATACTTGAACACACGCCGTAAAAACAAATCGTTATACACATTACGGTTGGGGTTAGGGGTTAAGGATAAAGTTACCAAATGACAGACCTTTTCATGCAAATTATATCATTAGTTTCATTTTCTCATTTTTAGAATCTTTTTTTTTGGGGGGTTGGCGGGGGTTAACTTTTGTGGCGGGGCTTATCTGGACAAGATCCCAACAATCAATCAATAATAATTTGGTGGTAAATTAAATTTAAAATGACTTCCGGTGGCGCCCGCAGTGTGTATGTGCGTGCTATTCGATAGCTCTTTGGCTAGTGTCTATCGTATGAAATCGATTAAATGTCTGTTATTTATACAAGAAGTATACAGAGTTTCTTCCAGGCATCTGTTCGGGGGGGGGGGGGGCGCTTCGTCCTCTCGATGAAAGTCTAACGTTACCCCCCACCCCCGAGCAAAATGGAATTTATATAGAAAATATATACTTTTAACAGTGTTCGACACCCTCTGGAAGTTTTAGTCCGCCCCCCCCCCCCCCCCCTCCGTGGAAGAAACACTGGAAGTAAACACATTGCTGTTGTTTTACTACATTTTAAACTTCTACAAAGAAAAACAAGTTAATTAAAAAAGTCTAGTGACATTTATGCGCAATTTCCTTATGTTATCTAAAAATAGCTCTGACGTATAATGCTGGGATGCGTTCAAGCTAGAAGAACAATCGGTTTGTAGGTGTTTTTGTAATTTTAAAATGTGTGACCAAACGAGAGGATATTTTTGAAAACTTTCTTCGGCAATATTGCTCTAAATTATGGCAGGAATCGATTGGTACATGTTTCAAGTCGCTAAGTGGTCTGGTTGACGAGATATGGGCCAAAAACTGCTTTTTTTCGAGGTTTTTTGGCTTTTCCGGGAAATACATGAAAGAAACCCGGAATTTTTATGGCCTATGCTCATTCTTGTAACTTGCTTAACATAATTGCTTTTGGAACTAGTCATCGATATTGCTTCGTTGAGGAGGAGATACGACTTAAAGCCCGGACACACATTCATCCATACATTCATCCATCCATCCATCCATCCAGAAATGACGCGTTAATAAACGCAATTCTCCAGAATGGAAATTGCGCTAAAAAAATCTAAGTTTCTTTTTTCTTTTTTATTTTTTTGCGCCCGTCTTTTTTTTTAGTAGAATTTATAAAAAATAAAATAAAAATAACAATATTCGTTTATTATATCTAATGGAGAAGTTTGAAAAAATAAAATTCCACAATCTACACCTTATTTAACAATCGATTCGAATTCATGTTTCCAGTACATAATTTTGTGTTACAGTTATCCACTCTGATCGATTCGTACACTATCGCGTTCAACACCGATGCGGTTTGGTGCTAATCTAGCGCAGAGTGCGAACATAAGCACGGAGTGTGGGTGGGGGGGGGGGGGGTAGGAGGGGGGGGGGGGTGTATTGTCTAATCTAATCCCAGAACAACGTCACGGTATCAAGAGTCAAGGAGGGGTTAAATTGGGAAGTAATCTCTTCAGCGGTAAGCTCTTACGTGTAAGCCCTTGTTGTAACGTTAGCGCCAGGCCCGGGGGGGGGGGGGGGCGGTGACTGAGGGGCTGGAACAGGTAGGTGCAGGTAACAGGGTGCCAGGTAGGGTTAGATTTTTGGACGGGACGTTTGGGAAATTTTGAGGCGCAGTAGACGGTCAAGCGGCTCAATGGGTAGTCAAAATAGTGTGGCTATGAAGGGGGTCGGAAAATTTCCGCTGTGGGTGAAGGGTGGAGAGAGCTGTGGGGTAGGGACAAACAGGGAGAGATTGTGGTGTGGGGTAGGGGCCGATTGTGGTGTGGGGTAGGGGCAGATTGTGGTGTGGGGTATGGGCAGAATGAGCTATGGGTCAGGAACATATTGAGGTGTGGGGTAGGGGCAGACTGAGCTAAGTGGGACGGACATATAGAGCTGTGGTTGACATATATGTATGAGGGGCAGATAGGGGTTAAGGCAGATAGAACCGTGTCGGGTAAGGGCAGGTTAAGCTGTTAGGGGGCATGTAGGCCTGAAGGGGTGGGTGAGTAGACAGGGGTCAGGGGCAGATAAAGCCGTCGAGATGGACACCTAAAGCCGTGTGGCGAGTGAGCCTCACAAAGGGGATCAAGAGCTTATGACGTATCACAGTGAAAAAAAAATAACTTCTGGTTTTTGAAGTATGGCGAGCATGTATTACTTTAAAGCGCATGTCAAAACGTGAACATGTTAAAAAAAAAAAAAAAAAAAAAAAAAAAGGAAAAAAAAACCGCAGTACTTAATTACAGTTTTGAAAAAAAAATGTCTGGCAAAGCAAAAAGAAAAAAAAAATCGCTTCCAGACTAGGGTTAGGCTGTCGACTTCCGGGTCAGACAAGCACTTCTGTTTAGAGATTACATTTTAAAATTTATGTTCACAGCTATGTAGAGGGGGCGGTGTGTGTGTGTGTGGGGGGGGGGGTGCGGGAGGAGAGATGGCGTTCACAGAGGGTGTGAGAGAGGTGGGATACAGAGAGGGTGTGAGAGAGGTGGGATACAGAGAGGGTGTGAGAGAGGTGGGATACAGAGAGGGTGTGAGAGAGGTGGGATACAGAGAGGGTGTGAGAGAGGTGGGATACAGAGAGGGTGTGAGAGAGGTGGGATACAGAGAGGGTGTGAGAGAGGTGGGATACAGAGAGGGTGTGAGAGAGGTGGGATACAGAGAGGGTGTGAGAGAGGTGGGATACAGAGAGGGTGTGAGAGAGGTGGGATACAGAGAGGGTGTGAGAGAGGTGGGATACAGAGAGGGTGTGAGAGAGGTGGGATACAGAGAGGGTGTGAGAGAGGTGGGATACAGAGAGGTGCGGGGAATGAGACTAGTTATGGTAAACAAAACAAAACAAAACAAAAAACTCCGGTAAAAAATAAAACGTGAGGTAATCGGTAATCTTTTCTTAAACCTCACTATTTTTGTTTGTAAATTCATACATTTTAAATGCACGCATATAGTCTTTGACGCAAGTTTTTTTTGTTTTTCTTTTTAAAGAAGCAACAGATAATTTTACGACAAGCAACGGCGAGTCATTCAACAAAATAGGTTGCTGAATCAACGCCGAGTTAAAGCCACCTACAGTAACCTTTAAAGTGAACCCCAGTTTCGAATTATTCCCTCTTAAAGAACATACGAATTAAAATATTTTAATTTGGAAATATAACGCAATTAGGAAAAAAAGCCTATCTAGACTAAAACAAATACATAAAAAACCACCGCACTAAATAATTATAAAAAAATACCCCCACCCCTTTTCCAATTAAAAAAAAATATAACGTTTACCATGACCCACTAAACGCTAGATTGTCAGTAACATGAAATATATTGTTTGTAGTAGTAGTAAGGCAATCCTGGAGAAAAACAATAGAAGAAGAGGCAAGGGCTGCCGGGCTGAAGTGGGAGCAACTAAAGAGAGCTGCACAATACAGAGTCCGGTGGAGAGGTGTGGCTGCAACCCTTTACTCCCCAGGGGCGACACATGAGTAACAGTAGAAGAAAGAAGAATCATAATTCAACTTAATGAAAACCCAGTTCTAAAATAACTAATAAAAAATAAAAAAATAAAAACGTTTACACACAATCTATTTCGCTCTCACACATACACAATCTAACCTTTCCCTAAAATTCCAACCCACCCACACACATAATCTAACACTTCCCAACTCACCCAACTTCCCCCCCCCCCACCCCACAATTCTAACCCTCACCCTCACATCAAATTTTCCCTCACACACCATCTAACTCTCTTCCCCACACAATAACCACCCCCCCCCCCACACACACCATAAAACCTTCTCCCCCACACACCATTATTCCACCCCCACACACTCCTATCAACTTACCCGTGTGTTCAAAACTCCTGACTGTGTTGGCGGAAACGAGGCCGTTGCCCTTGACACTGAGGTAATTGTTCGCGACCCCGTCGCTGTGAGTCTTATACAGATCCAGCATATAGTCCGACACCGGAAGTCCCGGGTTGACCTTGGGCCTGGCCTTGAGGCCCACGTTGTTCAAAAACATCAGCTCCAAAGCGTTCAACTTTTTCCGATCGCTCTCCGAGACGTTCGCCAAGAGGCTGCTCCGCCGGCCAGCGGCGTCCGCGGGGGGCCGGGCTTGGAGGCTGTGGCTGGTGGGCGTGGCTTGCATACCGGGAGGTGACCCGTTGTCCGGACGGCTCTCGCGGGCGGTGACCACTTCCGGTGACACGGGCGGCGGGTGAGTTGATGGCGACGAGGTAGAAGAAGTTGGTGATGATGTGGTGGACGGTGAGGTGGACGATGAAGTGGAGGTGAGAATCACCAGCAGCACGAGCACTAGGGACTTTGAGCTGCAAGTTCCGGTCATGCTTGTCAGGCCTGGAAGGAATATAAAATAAAAAGCTCCGTCATTAGATAATTATAGACATCACGTGGTGTTGTGGCTGGGATTATGAGAAACAACATAGGCATTATATTACACATGAGAAGATACATTTTTTTTTAAAGGTACAAAAATATAGACTATTAGACTGATTTTGTGATATATAGAAGTGTCTTGGTCTTGTTTTAATTTAATGTATAGATATTTTTTCTGGGAAATCTTTGGTTCGGTAAACCCGTTGTGATAGTTTTTTTTTTTTTTTTTTTTGGTGGGGATTTTAGCTAAAAATAAAGTGCTTAAGTTAAGGAATATTTTTTTTTTTACTGGGATATTTTTTCCTTAGGATAACTGGTTTTTTTTATCTTGTTTTGTAGTTGTTCTGTTCAATAGGCTATAGTGTTCATTAAAACAATTTTTTTAAATCATCTTTCGTGACAGTTAAAAACAAGAAATATATTTTCTTAAAGAATGTACATTACAAATTTAACTACATTTACACATAGAAAACTTGGCCGGGCGCACATGGATGACTTAATTTATATTTGGCGGGGCGCACAAGGGCAACTAAATTCATATTTGGCCGGGCGCACAAGGGCGACTAAATTCATATTTAGCCGGGCGCACAAGGGCGACTAAATTCATATTTGACCGGGCGCATATGGGCGACTAAATTCATATTTGACCGGGCGCATATGGGCGACTAAATTCATATTTGACCGGGCGCATATGGGCGACTAAATTCATATTTGACCGGGCGCAGCGGTGTGTCTCTACGCCACTGACTAGACACCATTTATCAATGACCGCTGCCTTCTTGACTCTCCACCTTACAAGCCAAACACACTTATTTCTGTCGCAGTCCCGGGCTAACAATCTCCCACCCCCAGGGTTGTGTGGAATGTGGTGGTTTGTCATTGCCTAAGTCCCAGTCACACTAACAGGTGTCTGGGGTGAATTAAGACTTTAGTCTTACATGTGCCTGGGGGTGACTTAAGACTTTAGTTTTACAAGTAAGGGTCTGGGGTGAATTAAGACTTTAGTGTCTGGGGTGAATTAAGACTTTAGTTTTACAAGTAAGGGTCTGGGGTGAATTAAGACTTTAGTGTCTGGGGTGAATTAAGACTTTAGTCTTACAAGTTGGTGTCTGGGGTGACTTAAGACTTTAGTCATACAAGTTGGTGTCTGGGGGTGACTTAAGACTTTAGTCTTACAAGCTGGTGTCTGGGGTGACTTAAGACTTTAGTCATACAAGTTGGTGTCTGGGGGTGACTTAAGACTTTAGTCTTACAAGTGTCTGGGGTGACTTAAGACGTTAGTCTTACAAGCTGGTGTCTGGGGTGACTTAAGACTTTAGTCATACAAGTTGGTGTCTGGGGGTGACTTAAGACTTTAGTCATACAAGTTGGTGTCTGGGGGTGACTTAAGACTTTAGTCTTACAAGTGTCTGGGGTGACTTAAGACGTTAGTCTTACAAGCTGGTGTCTGGGGTGACTTAAGACTTTAGTCATACAAGTTGGTGTCTGGGGGTGACTTAAGAGTTTAGTCTTACAAGTGTCTGGGGTGACTTAAGACGTTAGTCTTACAAGCTGGTGTCTGGGGTGACTTAAGACTTTAGTCATACAAGTTGGTGTCTGGGGGTGACTTAAGACTTTAGTCATACAAGTTGGTGTCTGGGGGTGACTTAAGACTTTAGTCATACAAGTTGGTGTCTGGGGGTGACTTAAGACTTTAGTCTTACAAGCTGGTGTCTGGGGGTGACTTAAGACTTTAGTCTTACAAGTTGGTGTCTGGGGGTGACTTAAGACTTTAGTCATACACATAAGTGTCTGGGGTGAATTAAGACTTTAGTGTCTGGGGTGACTTAAGACTTCAGTCATACAAGTTGGTGTCTGGGGTGAATTAAGACTTTAGTGTCTGGGGTGAATTAAGACTTTAGTGTTTGGGGTGAATTAAGACTTTAGTGTTTGGGGTGAATTAAGACTTACAGGCAGGTATCTAAGATATGACTTTAGACTTACGTCATAAAAGCAGGTGACTGAGGATGACTTACGTCATCGGTCACGCAACCATATGTATGCATCTGGGGTGAGACCCATGCAGGTGTTTGTATGTTACTTAAGACTTTAGTCATAAACGCAGGTATGCAGGTGTATGTTACTTAAAACTTTAAACGCAGGTATGCAGGTGTCTGTATGTTACTTAAGACTTTAAACGCAGGTATGCAGCTGTCTGTATGTTACTTAAGACTTTAAACGCAGGTATGCAGGTGTCTGTATGTTACTTAAGACTTTAAACGCAGGTATGCAGGTGTCTGAATTGACTAAAAAAGACACCAGGGACACATACAGGTGTCAGGGTGACTTAAAAACTTCCCCGAATACCAACGCTGTGTTAGCCTGACAGTTTACTAAATCCAGGGGTCCCATATTGTGTCAACGGGCTTT